CGTCACTCAGGTATGCTGGACGTCACTCAGGTATGCTGGGTGTCACTCAGGTACACTGGGTGTCACTCAGGTATGCTGGACGTCACTCAGGTACGCTGGACGTCACTCAGGTACGCTGGGCGTCACTCAGGTATGCTGGGTGTCACTCAGGTATGCTGGGTGTCACTCAGGTACGCTGGACGTCACTCAGGTATGCTGGGTGTCACTCAGGTACGCTGGGCGTCACTCAGGTATGCTGGACGTCACTCAGGTATGCTGGGCATCACTCAGGTACGCTGGGTGTCACTCAGGTACGCTGGGCGTCACTCAGGTATGCTGGACGTCACTCAGGTATGCTGGACGTCACTCAGGTATGCTGGGTGTCACTCAGGTATGCTGGACGTCACTCAGGTATGTTAGTCATCACACAAACAGTGTGAGTCATACAGGGATGCTACATTCGCAGATGCAGGACACATCACCCTTGGATTGCTGATATGTTGCACTTGCTGAGCATCGAACAACCGCTGCAAATAAAACGGCAAACGATTCTGTCATGAAAGCAGGTGACAATGACAATAGTTCAGCGTGACTATATAGATTACCCCCTATTCCACTTCCAGCCCCACTACTACCTAGATGCAAGCCTACCTAATACGCCATGCAATACACCACCCCCTCGTTAAAACACAACGCAGGTGCAATGCTACGAAAGCCCAGTAGCTTTATTCGAAATTAGTATAATTAATTGAAGCATTGAAGCAAAGAAGCATGCATAATAAGTAACGGAATCCGTATTCTCAATCGTCTGCCGGGGGAGCGAAATGTAACGTGCAATCCGACTGCTCGCCAAATCTCTCTGAATTTCTAAATTCTCGACGGGGGCCTTGCGTGCAACGCTCGCGCTTACGCTCTGTTCTTACACTCGCGCTTACGCTTACGCTCTGTTCTTACACTCGCGCTTACGCTTACGCTCTGTTCTTACACTTGTGCTTACGCTCTGTTCTTACGCTCGCACTTACGCTCTGTTCTTACACTCGTGCTTACGCTCTGTTCTTACACTCGCGTTTACGCTCTGTTCTTACACTCGCGCTTACGCTTACGCTCTGTTCTTACACTCGTGCTTACGCTCTGTTCTTACACTCGCGTTTACGCTTACGCTCTGTTCTTACACTCGTGCTTACGCTCTGTTCTTACACTCGCGCTTACGCTCTGTTCTTACGCTCGTGCTTACGCTCTGTTCTTACACTCGCGCTTACGCTCTGTTCTTACGCTCGTGCTTAC